GCTGACCATGGTTCTAGTCCTGGATCTGGAAACTTGAAATGCATTCCAGGTGCGTGTATGTGTGTGCCCAAGATCCTGCGAATGGAGGATTGAGGCATGGCCATCCCCTCTGGGGGGTGATTTCTCACTTTCTATCTGTCTCTGTCTCTCCAGCAAGTGCATGTACCCCAAAGCAAAAATCTCTCTGAAAAAAAAAAAATCTTGAAATTTCTTTTAACACTTCTTTGACCCACATGCTATTTAGAAGTATGATGTTTAATTTTTAAATATTTGGTGATTTTCCAGGTATCTTTCTTATTGACTTCCAGTGTAATTTCATTGTGAGATGACAGCATGCTCTGTAGGATTTCCATTCTTTCAAACTTGCCAAGGTATGTTTTATGGTCCAGAATGTAGTCTATTATTAGTCAAGGTATCCTAGAGAGAACCAAAAGTGTATGTACAGACACCTGAGAGAAGACTTTGGCTCATGTAACTACAGTGGCTGAGAAGTCCCACAACAGGTCACCTGGAGCTGGTACCTGGCACTATGAAAGGGGAAGATCACTGATGGCAATTCTCTACCTCACCCCAGACCAGGGGATTCATATTGTTGGGCAGTGGCCACAGACACTAGTAATTTTAGAAGCTACTGTGGTGATTTTACTGTGCTCCTAGTGTTGAACAACCTCTGAGAGCAGGCCAGCAGGTGGTGTAGTGGTTAAGGACACTGGACTCCCACATGGTCAACCACAGTTCAAGTCCCAGACCTGATGGCTTGTTTTCTCAGTTTCCTTCTCTCTCTGTTCTTCTCTAGTCAAAGAAAGAAAGAAAGTTAAATACAAAATAATAATAAAGAAAAAGAAAACCTCTGATAGCAAGAGCTATCCATAGACATAAGTGGGCTAGACTGAGCCCTGAGCAATTTTACAACAGTGGCTTTTACCTTGGCTGACCTTTGGGATCACCTGGAAGCTGACAGATTTTTTACTTGGTCAAACTTGAGTCAGGCTTTTGAAACTTCTCCTAGGGTCCACCTGTGCACTTCCTCATAAAATCGTTTTAGCCAAGTCCTGTTAAATCAGTTTAGCAAGAATCCACCCATCTTCAATACATGGTTACCCTCAATATCTGATTAGGTTCATCCTCTTCTAGTATTCCCCAGATGATGCCTTACCACCTAGTCTAGTTTCGGCAAGAATCCTTTAGGTGTTTAGCCACCATCCCTCTAACTCCTGATGCTTTCTCTTATAACTTTCCATTTCATTGATCCCCACCATGGTCCTTGGATATAAATTCCCATTTGCCCATGCTATATTAAAAATTAAGTCCATTTCTCTCAACTCCAAGACATTGCAATGCGGTGGTCTCTACACCTACTCCAATGGTCCTGAATAAAGATTTCCTTACCAGGCTTCAGCAAGTATCATTGAACTTTTTCTTTAACAGTGTCTTAAAAAAACTGATGTACAGGGGCCAGCAGATGGCACGGTGGTTAAGCTGCTGGACTCCCACGTTGCTGACCGCCAGACCTGGCAGCCTGGTTTCTCACTTTGTCTCCCTGTCTGTCTCTGATGAGTGCATGTGCCTTTTAAAAAAAAAAAAAAAAAAAAAAAAGCAAGCTTTGAAACATATTATACATTAAAAAACAAAACAAAACTAATGTATGAACCCAGTGAAATTGTAATTTAATCAGTCTGGGGAGGGCTCTCAGCCTGAGGGTTTTTAAAAGCCCTACAGGTGATTTTAGTGGGCAGCCAAGTTAAGAATCACTGATTTAGATGTTCAGGAAAAGGACAATCCAACACAGAAGACCAAGGAGTAGTAGTCAATGAAATAGGCAAAAAGCCAGTAAAGGATGTTCTGCAAACTTGAGCAGGGAAAGATTTCAGGAAAGGAGTGATCAATGATGTAAAATGCCAAAGAAACAGCCAAAGACCAACGGGCAGCTTGTTGAGGTTTTTGCACTAAAGTGTTCTCACTTGGGAGAGAGACACAGTGGGAGGGAAAGTGAGAAATCACCCCCGAAGGGGGATGGCCATGCTGCAATCCCTTCTCCTCCCAGGATCTTGAACGTGCAGTCTCAAGTGTACAGCCTGAGTTTTCTTTCTTTTTTTTTTTTTTTGAGAGGTTTTTGCTATAGGGCACGTGCACTTGCCAGAAAGACAGAGACAGAGAGAAAAAAGCGAGAAATCACTCCCTGGGGGGATGGCCACACTGCAATCCCTTTTCCTCCATACTCCTCTTGGGATCTTGGGCATGCACACACACATGCCCGGCATGAGTTTAAGCCGCCGGGTCTGGGACTCAAACTGCGGTCGACTACATGGGTGTCCAGCGACATAGCCATTATGCTAACTGCTGGTCCCTGCAGTTTGTGTTTCAACCCACTGGGTCCAGGACTTGAACTGTGGTGGGCCATATGGGAGTCCAGGAACATAACTGCTACGCCATCTGCTAGTCCCTACTAATGGGTATTTGAAGGCTGGATTTGAGGAAATTAGAGCACATTGGTGATTTTAGTGATTGTTGACAAAATCAATTTGGTGAAGTGACAGGGATAAAGGTAAAACTGTATGGGCTCAAGAGAGAAAGGAAAAAGACCCACCCTGTCAACTGAGATGAATGAAAACACTGTTATTACCTTTATAATAACCCTTCATATTTATTCAACTAAAGATTGTTCCTAATTTTTCAGTATTATGTTATGATTTTTTTAATGACATTAAATTTCTGAGCCAAGAGGTAATAATTGTTTAACATTCTTGTCACAGTGTAGACAGATGTCACCGTCATCCCTTTTGCCAAACCACACATTTACACATACACAAAAAAAAACCCTGTGCTTGTTTAATACACCTAAAATGACATCTTGTTCTTTTCACATATAATTATCTGATTACTATTATAGTAAGCCTGAACATTCATGTTTCCTAGCCATTCCTATTTAAAAATTGTTCCTTTCTTGTCATTTAACGCCACCTCCCCTAAGCACTCTCAGAAAACCCCACACTCTTCCGGAATCCTGTTGTTTCTAGCACCTGTCATCACTTGTGCTACATACGCACCTATACGTGATGGTCTTAATCTCCCTCCGACTCAAGCCCCCCCGAAACAGCTGGCTGTTTAGAGGATAGTTTTGATGTGTAGGAGCTACTGGAACTGATCACTCGTTTTTTGTATTTTCTAGCTCTTGCTGCTATACTGGAAACCATTAGGTCATCAGAAAAGTCATGACATATTTTTCACAGAAAGCCATAGAAAATACGTAGTGACTTTTCCGACAACCCAATGTTGTTGTTCACTTTTTTTTCCCATTTATTTTTCCAGTTATTTAGTAACTTTTGGACAGCCTCCCAGAGGTTCTGGCATTTGTGGTTGGCCCATGCCCTCTGTCCTACTGTATGACTATACTATCCATCCAGAGTATTACCTAGACTTCCAAAGAATAATACTGATACTGGCAGTCAATTCTGTCCCCACTTTTAAAGGGTACTGCTGGCTTGAAATACAGTTAAAGAACAGTTTCTGTGGCCTTTAAGTATTTTATTTCCTGTTACTGTTTCAAAATTTCTTTGTTTTAGAATGCTTTGTACTGAAACACAAACCTTAGAATTATGTGTTAAAAATCAATCAAAAACCAATAGGCACTGGGAACTGGCAGGTGGCGTGGTGAAGGCACTGGACACACCCACATGGCCGACCATGGTTCAAGTCCTGGACCTGGTGGCTTGCTTTCTCACTTTCCTCTCTCTTTCTCTCTCTCCAGTCAAATTAAAATTAATGAATGAATGAATAAAATTTAATAAAATAATTATTAAAACAAAACAAAACCAAAACCAAAAGGCAGGACCAGTAGGTGGTGCAGAGTTCAAGATTCCTGGATCCCATTTGGCTGGCTGCATAGTTTGAGGCCAGGATCCAGTGGGCCAGCAGGTGGCGTGGTGGTTAAGGTGCTGGACTTCCACATGGCTGACCACAGCTTGCATCCCAGACTTGGTGGCTTATTCTCTTACTTTCTCTGTCTCTACCTGGTCAAAAAAAAAAAAAAAAAAAAAAAAAAAAATCATGCTGGGCATGTGCACATGTGTGCCCAATATCCTGGGAGGAGAATGGAAAAGGGATTCCAGTCTGGCCATCTCCCTGGAGTTGGGGGGTGATTTCTCATTTTCCCTCTCACTGTCTCTGTCTCTGTCTGGAGAGTGCACACACCTTCAGACAAAAACCTCTTTTAAAAAAAAATATATATGTACTATATATATGTATATTATATATGTGTGTGTGTGTATGTGAAAAAATATTTACAATAACAAAATTATGTAGAATTAAGAGAAAAAATTTAACTTAGGGATGTTCTAATAAGTGGAAAGGTATGTTTCTGAACAGGAAAAGTTTTTGTAACAATTTTTCCCAACCAGTTGATAGATTTAACCCACTCCAAGCCAAATATCAATGTAAGACATTGGGAAACCTAATGCAAAACTGATCAAGAATCCCTAACTTATACCCATGAAGGCACCACTGACCTTGCTTAAAGGCAGAGAGGACAGGAGGGTCTGGCTATCAGGAGGCCAAAGACAACAAACAGTCATTACAATGAAGACTTGGAATCCTGTGTCTTGGGAGGCAATATGAGCTGACTTCTAGAGACATGAGTTCTAACAAAATCCTTTCCCTGTGCGATAGTGACCATCCCACTGTAAAAGTTCTGATGACGATGTAGAGGGGAAGCAAGCCTATGGTAAGGTAAGCCCTAGATTTAAGCCAACTTTTTCCTGCCTTCATCCAGGTACAGCCTTCCTTTTCAAACTCCTGGGACTTCCTTTCTAGTAGGTAAGATCATGGCTCAGCAGAGGGACAAGGGCTTTCCACTAATAGGCTGATGCTTGGGCCTGAACCATCCAAACCTCTTTTGGCAAGGGAGAGGAACCAGACAGCTGTTTGAAAGTAGACAGCTGAACATAATACAGCAAGAACAATAGACATTTTTAAACTATGAAAGATTTCTGGAAAACAGTTCGTTTTCACCACAAATTGCAAATGTTATTGGTTATTAGTTTTGATCACATACAAATAAGTCTTTGACATTCAAATGCTGCGGTTTTCCCATATTCGAAGTAAACAATTCCTTTCAACAATCAAGCCTGAACAGGGTGGTCTTAAGAGGGTTATATGAATTGCTATTAGAAGCTGTTGGCTTTACAAATCAGTAGGATGGTTCTTTCAGAGAAACACAGTTCCAGACAGGGAACTTTGCATTCTTTTTTTCAAGTGTGAATTCCCACATGGGAAATAAAAGGGTTAACTTTCAATAGACATGAGATACTCTGTTCACAAGTAAGCAGGCTCTAGACTAAACATTCAGTCTTTCTCAGAAAAGGTATGTGATCTGTACACTGTTGTACAACTTCACAAACAAAAGATCCTTAGTCCAAAAAGCCTGGATGCTAATTGAGGTATAGCCCTTAAAGTCGTTTATTTTGCTGTGAATTTTCTAACAACTTGAGGTTTCAACCAACATGGGTATATATACAATTTTGGCTATAATGAGGTTTTTCACATCTCTATCTTTTCAGATAGCCTGGGAATTCAGAATTTCTTACAAAACTTTTCAGTTTGAGGTAGGACCATCAGAACTTTCCTGGTCCCACTTAAGCTTTTGGGTCTTAAATGCCACATGGGTTTTCTCATGCCGGGTACAGTTTGAAAGCCGGCCAAATCTCCTCCCACATTTTTTGCAACTATATGGCCTCACAGCATCATGACTCTTCAGATGAAGCACAAAGTCTGCATTCCTTGGGAAGGTTTTCCCACATTCTATACACCGAAATATTTTTTCGCGTATATGAATTTCTTCATGTCGACTCCGATGAGAATTCTGACGAAAGTTTTTCCCACACTGAGAACAGGAATAAGGTTTCTCCCCTGTATGGATTCGCTCATGTTTATTGAGGTTTGTTTTATGATTGAAGCTTTTCCCACAATGACTACAGTCATAGGGTTTTTCTCCGGTGTGAGTCCTCTGGTGGGAAATGAGGTAAGAACTTTCATTAAACTGTTTCCCACACAGTGGGCAAGTGTACCATCTCCTTGTTCTTCGATTTCTAGTAAGTGCAATAACATTGATATCCACAAATTTGGATAGTTCCTCTAGTGGAGAATCATTTTCAATGGTGATTAAAAGATTCCTCATTTTCTTTTTTTGTGGAACAGATGTTTTTAGTCTTTCTTCTTCACGGCAATCTGGAGTTTGTTCAGAGACCAAAGAACAATCCATTTCACCCCAATCTGAAGATTTCTCTCTCAAATCTGCATTCTCGACAGATTCCTTTTGAAGGTCTTCACCCTCAGGATTATTGTCATTGACTAATGAGACAGAGAGAGAATTGAATAACTTTTGAGAGATATGACAACAGCAGGTAGGGGAAAAAAGTCTGATTTCTCATGAAACAATAACCTTGAAAGTTATAAGTCTGAGGACTGGCAGTAATACTCCCTATCATTCTTACTGAGGATGAGATACATGACTGATAAAGATTTCCATCCCCCACAATGTATGTACAGGGTCTTTTTACTTTAAAATTTTTAAAAAATAAAATGAGTGGGGGATGTACTGAAAAACTTTTATCTGTTTTCTCAACAGGCATCAATTATGCAACAAGTTCATACTGGCTTTATACTTCATATAGAACACTCAGCTAAGGACTAGGAAAGGAAGAATATAAACAATAAAGGTCCCACTCATAATCTTTTTTTTCTTAAGAGAGATTTTTGCTATAGAGTGCATGTGCTTGCCATAGAGACCAAAAGAGAGATGGAAAGAAAGTGAGAAATAACTCCCCTGAGGGAATGGACACACCACAATCCCTTCTCCTCCACTCTCCTCTAGAAGATTTTGGTCATGCATGCACACACACTCGGCATGAGTTTCAAGCCTCTGGGTCTGGGACTCAAACAATGGTCAGCTATGTGGGAGTCCAGCGATGTAACCATTACACTACTTGCCAGTCCCATACTACTCGTAATCTTTAGGAGTATAATAAATGAACAGTAAGAGATGAATTGCTTCTAGATTATCTCTATGTTAATTAACATCACAATATTACAGCACTGAATATTCTAATATCCAGTGCAATGGAAAACTGGGAACAAGTTTTGTGCCAAATGGCAAAAATTAAAGGAAGTATAACATTTTCACACAAGGGATTATTATTTGGCCATTAAGAGACTATAATAAACTAAATTAAACTATGGTATTAGAAGTTAGGAGTGCTTTTCTTTGAGGAAGACAAATTGAGCCAGGGGCACGAGAGGGATTGCTGGGTACTATAGTCAATTGTGAGTGGTGATTAGATGGGTGTGCACATTCTATGAAAATGTGAGTATACTTATTTTAGACTTTTTTGTATTTATACTACAAAAAAATTCTGTGTAAACTGATTATAAACACTAGACAATGAAGTGAAAAAAGTATGCTGTGAGCACGTGAGATGACAAGGGACACCTAAATTCTGAACAATTCACTGAGAGTAGAGGTTTGCCTTTTTTTTTTTTTTTTTTTTTTTAAAGATTTAACTTTATTTATTTATTTTTAAAATTAGACCGGAGGGGAGGGAGAAAAAGTGAGAAAGAGAGCTGCCAGGTCAAGGACTCAAACCATGGTCAGCCATGTGAGAGTCCAGTATCCTTAACCACCATGCCACCTGCCAGCCCTGAGTAGAGGGTTTAAATCAAGCATTGAGATACACAGCTAATCCTGAAACTAGCTGTGAATCTTTGTTGGATTTAGCAATTTTACACCAATAGATTTTTTTTTTTACCACTCCCTTAGGTTAGTGAAAATGACTGTTCAGGCATATGCCACCCCCCACCCAATTTTTTTTTAATTGTTTAATTTTATTTGTTCTTATTTTTAATTTGGCCAGAGAAAGACAGAGAAAGAGAAAGGGAAAATGAGAAAGCAAGTTGCCAGGTCTGGGACTTGAACCACAGTCAACCATGTGGGAGTCCAACAACATAACTGCTATGCTGTCAGCTGGCCTCATTTGCCAATTTTTAAAAATTAATTAATTAACTTATTTATTTTATGTTTAGGTTTTTGCCACAGGGCATGCTTGCTGGAGAAAGAGAGAGAGAGAGAAATAACACCCTGGAGGGATGGCCACACAGCAATCCCTACTGCTCCATTCTCCTTTCAGGATCTTGGGGATGCACGCACATGTGCTTGGCATAATTTTCAAGCCACCAGGTCTAAGAATGAAACTACAGTTGGCCATGTGGGAGTCCAGCCTTATACAAATCACCTTCTGGCTCAACACCACTTTTTTTTTTTTTTTTTGGAGGTTTTTCTTAGTATAGGGCATGTGCACTCGCCAGACAGACAGAGAGATAGAAAGCGAGAAATCGCTCCCCGGGAGGATGGCCATTCTCCTCTTGGGATCTTGGGCACGCACGCACGCACACGCGCCCGGCCTGAGTTTAAGCCACTGGGTCCAGGACTCGAACCGTGGTCGACCATGTTGGAGTCCACCAACATAGCCATTACACTAACTGCTGGTACCCAACACCACTCTTGATATATACTGCCATAAGGTTTTCCAAAGTTGTTCAAATCTTAATATAGTCATCAAATATGAATACCAATTTACCTAATCTTGCTAGCATTAAGTCTTACAACATTTAACAAGTAACAAATAGATTCTTATTATAGATGTATTTCACATTTTGGGTTAAGACATTCATACATCTTTTTTTTTTGAGAAAGGTTTTTGCTATAGGGTGCATGCGCTTGCCAGAAAAAGAGAGAGAGAGAGAGACAGAGAGAGAGAAATCACCCCTCAGCGGGATGGCCACACCACACTCCCTTCTACTCCATTCTCTCAGGATCTTGGGCATGCACGCACATACACCCAGCATTGAGTTTAAGCCCCTGGGTCTGGGACTCAGACCGCAGTTGACTACATGGGAGTCCTGCAACATAGTCATTATGCCAACTGCTGGCCCCCCATTCATACATCTTTTTTTTTTTAATGGGAGCCCAGCAACATCGCCATTACACTAACTGCTGGTTCCCCCATTCATACATCTTAAAAATTAGAAATCTCAATCTCTTTTTCAATCATAATTGATTTTTTTCATTGCTAGAGGGCACATGCACTTGCCAGACAAGAAGAGCATTCTCCTATTATCTTCTCCATCCCTGGGGACTTGTGCGCACGCACGCACTCACGCGCGCACACACGCACACAATTTTTTTTATGCTGCTGGGTCAGAATTCAAACTATGGTCACCCATGTGGGATCTGGCTCCCTTAACCACCAGGCTTCAGGGTAGCCTGTAATGTATTTTTAGAAATTATTTTAACTTTATTATTTATTTTAATTTGACCAGTGTGTGTGTGTGTGTGAGAGAGAGAGACAGACAGACAGAGAAAGTGAAAAAGCAAGCCACCAGGTCTAAGACTTGAACCATGGCCAGCCATGTGGGAGTCCAACCTTACCCCTCCCCCCCCCTGCCTGAAATGTATTTTTAACTGAAGCTTCTGCTGGAAGTCTACAACAGAAAACCAGAAAAAAAAAAAAAAATACACCAGTCTTTCAAGATCTCACAAAGTTCTATTTTCTTTCTGAACATTCTTCTATGACTTAGTTTTATAGCTAACTCTAATATATTTGGAGTTTAATTTGGTGGCCTCGCCACAATCACTTCTCCTCTTGAGATTTTGCGCATGCACATACACATGCTGGCATGAGTTTCAAGTTGCCGGGTCCAGTCGGTTATGTGGGAGTCCAGTGATGTAACCATTATATCATGTGCTGGTCCAATAAATCTTTCTTTTTTTTTAAAAAAAAAAAAGATTATTTTAACTTTATTTATTATTATTTTCCAATTTGACCAGAGAGAGAGAAAGTGAGAAAGGAAGCCACCAGGTCTAGGACTTGAACCATGGTTGGCCATGTGGGAGTCCAGACCCCCTAACCACCACACCGCCTGCCAGCCCCCAATAAATAATTATTTAAATTAAAATGGGGAATGGCAGGTGGCGTGGGGGTTGAGGTAGTTGTACTCCCACGACTGTTCCTGGCCCTGGCAGCATGAAAAACACACACATATATGTGTGTGCCCGGAATCCCAAAAGGAGAATGGATGAGAAGGGATTGTGGCGTGGCCATCTCTGGCAATAGCTAAACAGAGCATAACCATCCTCCCCTGAAAGATGCTCTCTTCCTCTTTTTCCCCTATAGGGCATGTGCACCTGCCAGAGAGAATCAAAGTGAGAAATATCCCCCATGGGACCAGCAGTTAAGTGTAATGGCTATGTCCCTGGACTCCCATGTAGTCGACTGCAGTTCAAGTCCCGGACCTGGCGGCTTAAACTCACGCTGGGCGTGTGTGTATGTGTGCCCAAAATCTCGAGAGGAGAATGGAGAAGGGATTGTGGCGTGGCCATCCCCTCTGGGGGGTGATTTCTCACTGTCTGTCTGTCTCTGTCTTTCTGGCGAGCACACATGTGGTAGAGCAAAAACATCTCCATAAAAAAAAAAGAAAAAGAAAAAGAAAAAGAAAATCATCCCCTGACATCGCAATCCCTCCTCCATTCTCATCTCAAGATTTTGTGCATGCCTACACGTGCCTGGTGTAATTTTCAAGCTACCAGACCCGCAACTCAAACCGTGCAGCTGGCCATGTGAGATCCAGTGCCCTAACCTCCACACCATTTGCTGGTCTTCTGTCTCTCTTTTGGTGCTTGTACCTTCTGGCAAATTTAAAACAGTCCTTTACCTTGCTGATTTAAGAAACCAACTTTATCACATACTAAGCTCACGTGTGTATTTGAGGCCATTTCTAAAATTTTTATTCCATCCCACTGGTCTATCTACTCATATGCCAATACCACACTGTTTTAGTTACAGAGGCTTTCTGGACTGCTTTTAATTCCTGATAGGACTAGAATCTCTCCCAAATGCTCATTTATTATAAAATGTTTTAATCTTATTTATTTTTCCAACTGAATTTGAGAGCAGATTGTCCAGTTCTAGGGGGAAAGTCCTACATTGGTGTTGCTGAACAGACTAGATTGAATTCATATATCAACTTAGGAAGAAATGATCTTTTTAAGATGTTAAAGAAACCTTCCTAGCCAAGAACATGGTAATTATTTTCATTCATTCAGATTATGTTTGTGCTGTTTAGAAGTGTTTTAAGGTTTCATCATAAATTTAGAACATTTCCTAAATTGATTTTAAGATACTTACTTAATCTTTCATGCTATTTTTTTTTTTTTTTGAGATATTTTCACTATAGGCTGCGTGCGCTCACCAGACAGACAGAGAGACGTATAGACAGAAAGCGAGAAATCACCCCCCAGGGGGGACGGTCACGCCGCAATCCCTTCTCCTCCATTCTCCTCTCAGGATCTTGGGCACGCACACACACGCGGCGCCCGGCATGAATTTTAAGCCACCAGGTCCAGGACGTGAACTGTAGTCGACTACGTGGGAATCCAGCAACACAGCCATTACGCTAACTGCTGATTCCCCATTCTATTTCTTTTAGAGAATTATTTTATTTAACTTTGTTATCATTTGTTTTAATTTGACTAGAGAAAAACAGAGAAAATGAGAAAGCAAGCTGCCAGGTCCAAGACTCGAACTGCTATCAGTCATGTGGGAGTCCAGTGTCTCTAACCAGCACACCATCCGCTGGCCTCCATGTTTCTTTTTTTCTGAGAGAATTATTAATTCCATTTATTACTTTTTAAAAATTTGACCAGACAGAGAGAAAGAGGGAAAGGGAAATTAACAATGCAAGCCACCAGGTCCAGGACTTGAACCGTGGTCAGCCATGTGGGAATCCAGTGCCATTAATTACCATGCCATCTGCCGTTCCCACCCTCAAGTTTCTATTTTAATAGGGTCTCCCACAGTAATCATCTAAATAATTGTCTGTCTGTATGTGTGAAAGCTAATGATTCCTGTGTATTAATTTTACATTTTCTGATATTCTCTAGGGTAAGGGAGTCCATGGAGGGATTATCTTCCACATGGCTGGCCCTGATACCGGGAAGGTTGGAGACCGCTGCTCTAGGATTTTTCAGTTGTACATCAAATGTAAACAGAGATAGTTTCACCTTTTTCTCAAAAGGTATACATCTGATTTCTTTCCCATCTAATGCACTGGTTAATATCTAAAGCAATATTGAATAGTAGTAGTGAGCTGGTCCCTAACTCAATAGTTAAGGAAGTAAGATCCCAAATGGCCAGTTGTAGATCAAATCCTGGCCCCTGGGGCTTGAAAAGCAAGCTGGTTATGTGTGCATGTAAACCCAATATCCTGATGAGGAAGAGGAATGAAAGAAAAAGGATTACAGTGTGACCACACCTCACTGGAGGGTGCTTCCTCCCTCTGGTACGGGCACATACCCTCTGGCAAAAAAAGAAACTTGTCAGTGACAGCAGGCTTCACTGTCAGTGACAGCGGGTTTCATGTCATATACCTAATTTTAGTAACAATGTCTCCCAGTGTTTCCCATTAAAGGAACACTTTAATGTTGGGTTAAAAGCTGAATAAGGGAACCAGCAGTTGGCGTAATGGCTATGTCACTGGACTCTCATGTAGTTGACCGTGGTTCGAGTCCCGGATCTGGTGGCTTAAATTCACATCAGGAGCGTGTGCATGCGTGCCCAAGACCCCAAGAGGAGAATGAAGGAGAAGGGACTGCAGCATGGCCATCTGCCCTGGGGGGTGATTTCTCCCTTTCTGTGAGAAACTAGTAAGATAGGGTTGAAAATTCAATCATCATAATGGATTTGTGTCTCCCCAGACAATGCCTCGATTGCCTACTCTCTGCTCAACTTCAGCTTCAGATGCAACGGCCCCAAAGGCAAAGGTAAAACTATTAGGCACCCAGTAGACACCTGCCTCTAGGGTAGCAGTGCATTTCTAGAGAAAACTGAAGTATCCCCTAGGTGGCTAAAGAGAGACTGCTGCCAGCTCAGTTCAGATGTAGCACTGGGGACATTTGTCAACCAATACTGAGAAACAGAGACTAACAAGGAAGGTCCTGTTCACTACTTACCTAGCGAATTCAAAGCAAAATCCCTGCCAGGAGGCAGAACAGCACTGGGCCATGACTTCAAACTGAAGCCAGATTCTCTAAGTCCACTTCTTACACTGTGTGAATTACAAGTTTCTTTACCCCCCCCCCGACTCAGTTCTGCCATCTGTAAAGCAGTAATAATTCCTCTACACCACAGTACTACTGTGGATAGTACGTGAGACCATTAATGCACACAAAGCACTTGGATGAGTGCCTAGTACCTAAAAGCACTTAAGTGCTCAGTGTTAGGAAATATTTTCACCCAACAGTAGGATATGTTTTCACTTAACAATAGTAGGCATCACACCTACTAAACAAAAAGAAAAAAAGGGAGGAGGATTTAAAAGAATTAATTATATGTCCAACAGAAACATTAATTTAAATATACCTGTTGGGAAACTGTAGGCACCCAAAAACGGATTCAGAAGCAGTCTGCCTACATTTTTAATGTGTTTGAATGTCTTGCTTAATCAAGAGAAGTCCCTTGTCCCCTTGCTGCCCACAAGATACAGGGGATATAGCCACCCTCAGCTGGAGCTCTGTGGCTAGGCTTTGTTGCCTGGGATAAAAAACAAACAAACAAAAAAAAAAACGCTAAAATGTAAGCACATGTGCTTAAAAGATGTGAATAGTTGGGGCCAGCAGGTGGCGTACTGATTAAAGAGCTAGATTCCCCTATGGCTAACTGGGGTTCATGTCCTAGACCTGGAGACTTGAAACTCATGCCAGGTATGTGTGTATGTATGCCCAAAATCCCAGGAGGAAAACAGAGGATTTTTTGGTGTGGCCATCCCCTCTGGGGGTTGATTTCCTGCTTTCTCTTTGTCCTTCTGGTGAGTGCATGTACCCTATGGCAAAAATCTCTCTCTAGGAGGAAAAAAAAAAAAGATGTGAACAGTGCCCTAGAGGCTCAAAAGATTAAGGGCATGCTTTTCCTATAACTTAAAACACACACACACACAAAATATTTGATTTCTTACCTAATAACACCATCTCTCCAACATCACTGTCACCCTCCTTCTCTGAGGTGGGTTGCTGAACAGGATCCAGGCTCACACATTCTTCTTGAGAGTGAAATACATTCAAATCTTCAAAAACCAGTTCCTGAAAGAGTAAAAGGCCCTTTCCTCTTAGTAACTGAGGTTTCCTGACTGTCCTGCTGGTAAAAGACTGAGACACAGAGATCAGGGGAAGGGAGGCCAAATGGGAGCTACACATCCCACACAGGTGCAGCACAGACAGGACAGCCAGGCTGAGAGGAGCTGGAAGAAAAGCAGAAGAATGTGCTTTTATACAGGGGATGGTCAAGCAGGGGAGATGAGGCACTCAGTGAGCAGGAAAACCAAACCCACCTCAGGGTTAGCTTTCACACACAGAGACACTGCCTGTTTCTGCTGGATTCCTTCTCTAGGCAGAATCTTCACTAAAGGTTGAGGATGCACTGGTAAAAGAGGAAGCTGCAGTTAGTGAAAAACTCAGCAAGGGTCAGCTAGGTGATGTGGTAGTTGAGTCGGCTGGATCCCACAGGCGCCAGCTGGATCCCACAGGGCCTACTGTGCAGCTGTTCCAGACCTGGTGGCTTGAATGTGCATGCCCCAGAAACCAAGAGGAGAATGAAGAAGGGAAGGAGAGATCATAGTGTGGGCATCCCCCTGCTGGGGATGACCTGGGAGTCAACTGAAGTTGATTGAGTAATTCACCTGATATCCTTATCCTATAAAGATGTGTATCCCAGAATGTTTGGGTAAAATTGACATTTCAAAAGACACTTCGTTTATTTTGTGGCTTTACACACTTCTAGCATATCTCTCAAGCTCCAGCTTGAAAAAAAGTACTTCTTTCTAATATATTAATGTATTGGAATTGACTCCTTTCCTTCCTTCTTTTCTTTCTTTCTCTCTCTCTCTCTTTTTTTTTTTTCATTTACTACAGGGCACGTACATTTGCCAGAGAGAGAGAAAAGAGAAAGTGAGGAAGCATTCTCCCCTGCCTCCCCCAGAGGGGATGACCACATGACAATCCCTTCTCTCCTCGTTTCTCAGGATTTTGGGCACAAACTCACACCCATTGTGTTTTTCAAGTCACGAGGTCCAAGACTCAATCAACCACACAGCCAATCACGTGGGATCTAGCTGCCTTAACCACTACATCACCCAGAATTGACTCCTTTTTCAGAATCTACCATCCTAACCCAAATTCATGAACAGAGAAGCCTGTCTCAGTGGTACTGGGGAGTACCACTTTCTTCTCTTCTAGTGAACAAGCATGTGCTTCTCACCTCTGTTCTGAAGGCTTGAGCTCAAATCCTTCATAATAACCAAGGTCTCCTTGACTTTCTGACTGGGCTGGACCAGGCTTGGCTTGGGCAAGAAGGTGAGGAAGTGTTCTAGTACCAGCTGGTGGATGGTCTTAGGTCCACTAGTGGCATCTCGAAGTAGGTCTTGGCCCAGTTTGGAGTCAGGAGGAACTCTCAGAATAAAGGACTTTGGCTTTGCAGGCATAGGAACCACTTTTGCAGCCATGATGCCTTGCAATCACAGATAATACTTGTTTCTGGGGACTTCAGGAGTCACCTCTTACTGAAGTTAATCTGTCAGAGAGCCAAGCTGTAAAGAGAGAAACCACAGATTATTCACAAGACTAGGGAGGGATGACTGTACTCCAATATGTGGCTTGGGTAGTGAGGTTACATAACATGTAAATCAGAACTGCAAAACAGCTGGAGTAGAGAAATTGTAAGTGAAAAGGAAGGCCCATGAACAGTGCACTCTTTGAAAAGGCCCAAATGGAAGATCCTCAGAATGAAGACCAGAGAATGTCCAAATCTCGAGGAACAAATGGAAGAGAGCAAAAGGTGGCGGGCAGAAGACCAAGAGCTATACTCCAGGGAAATATTGAGTACAAAACTCACTCGGGGGACCAGCAGTTAGTGTAATGGCTATGTCGCTGGACTCCCACGTAGTTGACCGCGGTTCGTGTCCTGGACCCGGTGGCTTAAACTCACACCAGGCACGTGTGCGTGCATGCTCAAGATCCCGAGAGAAGAATGGAGGAGAAGGGATTGCCCGTGGCCATCCCCCCTGGGGGGTGATTTCTCGCTTTCTGTCTCTCTGTCTCTGTCTGTCTGGCGAGCGCACGTGCCCTATAGCGAAAATCTCTCAAAAAAACAAAACAAAACAAAACAAAACCACAACTCACTCAGGAAGGGTTTAACTCAGGCTTGTAGAAAGAACTATGGGTGGGGTCAGTCAATGGTGTAAGGGTTAAAGCGCTGGACTCCCACATGCCCCACCCCTGTTTAAGTCTAGAAGTGGTGGCTTGAAAAATCACACCGGGTACATGCATATGGGAGCCCAAAATCCCTGAGGAGATTGGAAGAGAAGGGACTGCAGCGTGACTATAACCGCTGGGAATGATTTCACACTCTCTCACTGTTTCTGTTTCTCCAGTGAGCACGCCCGCCTTTAAAGAAAGAAAGAAAGATCAATAGGCTACAAAGAAAAGGAAAGAAAAAAGAAAGCTCAATGGACTAGCAGACATGAAGTCTGGGGTCTAACACCGAGGGCATCTGCTTAGAAGCAGGCTGGTCTGACTCTGCATATTGTGCCCCTCAGACCCCGCTCCCTCTGGTGCCCTTCGGAGATCCGTTAACGACTCTCCAAGGAAGCAAAAGCAAGGCCAGGCAGTGCCCGCACATGGCGGCTGTGCCGGGGACATCCCACTAGGGCCCACTCTGGGCCCTCTCCCACTGGCCACCGGGCACCTTTACCTCAAGCACAGTCGGCTGCGCTACTCGGAGCCCGCACTGGGCTCGCTCCCGGGTAGGTGCCGCCAGCAACGCACTCGCTCCTCGCCCCAGAGGCCGCAGCCCGGCTCCCACCCTCGCAGCGCTCCTCACCTCTTCCGGCCTCTGCGGCCCCTGGGCGCTGGCTGGGGACGGCTCAGAGACCGAGGCGCTAGGGACCGGGAAACTAGGCGCGAGAAACCCAGCCCTGCCCTCGCCCTTCCGACTGTCCGCACAGGCCGCCGGCGACGATTGGTGCGCGCCGCCTCAGGTTGAGGAGGACCGCAGCGGCGCGACGCCTTCTGGGAGACCGGCGCCGCCAC